GCTGCCTATGACATGTCCCTTTTTGCCTCTGTTGCCGGTAGGGTGACCACCTAATCCATGTCAGGAGGGACACTATGAGCTACTTCAGCTTTTACGAACTACTTTTAAGCTGAAAGGGTTCTGTGCTCTGCTAAAATGTTTGGTTAGTTCCTAGATTGAAAGACTCATCCAGCTGTTTCGCATTAACATTACTGACACATATGCATGATTATAGGAGACTGACCAATCAGCATACGGCAAGAACCCAGTGCTTAAGTGAAATCCTGGTCCTTTTAATTGAAATGTATGAAATGGTAGTTTACAAATCCTGTTGTAGCTCATAGTGTCCCTCCTGACATGGATTAGGTGGTCACCCTAGTTGCCGGTGATGTGTCCCTCTTTGCCTCTGCTGCCTGTGACATGTCCCTGTCTCCTTCTGCTGGCTGTGTCATTACCCTCTTCGTCTTTGCTGGCTGTGATGTGCCCCTCACTCCCTCTTCTGGCTGTGATATGTCCCTCTTTATCTCTGTTGCCTGTGACCTGTCCCTGTTGGCTGTGATGTTTCCCTCTCTCCCTCTTCTGGCTATGGCATGTCCCTCTTTGACTTAGGTGCCTGTGACTTGTCCCCCTTTGCTTCTGCTGCCTGTGATGTGGCCCTCTTTGTCTTTGCTGGCTGTGCTGGGTCTCTCTTTGCCTCTGCTGCCTGTGCCATGTCTGTCTTTGCCTTTGCTCCCTTTGACTGTGATGTGTCCCTCTTTGTCTTTGCTGGCTGTGATGTGTCCCTCTCTCCCTCTTCTAGCTGTGATGTGGCCCTCTTTGTCTTTGCTGGCTGTGGCATATCCCTCTTTGCTTCTGCTGCCTGTGATGTGGCCCTCTTTGTCTTTGCTGGCTGTGATGTGTCCCTCTCTCCCTCTTCTAGCTGTGATGTGACCCTCTTTGCCTCTGATGCCTGTGATGTGCCCCTTTTTACCTCTGCTGCCAGTGACATGTCTCTCTATGCCTTTGCTAGCTGTGATATGTTCCTATCTCCCTCTTCTGGCTGTGATGTGTCCCTCTTTGTCTTTGCTGACTGTTGCATGTCTCTCTTTGCCTTTGCTGGCTGTGACGTGTCCCTCTTAACCTCTGTAGGCTGTGATATGTACCTTTCTCCCTCTGCTATCTGTGGGATGTCCCTCATTGCCTCTGCTGACTGTGACATGCCCATCATTGCATTTGCTAGTTATGATGTGTCCCTCTTTGCCTCTGCTGGCTGTGACGTGTCTCTCTTTTCCTCTTTTGGCTGTGACATGCCCCTCTCTCCCTCTGCTGCCTATGACGTGTCCCTCTCTCCCTCTGCTGCCTATGACGTGTCCCTCTCTCCCTCTGCTGTCTGTGACGTGTCCCTCTTTGGCTCTGCTCCCTTTTTCATGCACCTGTCTCCCTCTGTTGTTTGTGGGGTGTCCCGCTTTGCCTCTGCTTCCTGAGATGTGTCCCTCTCTCCCTCTGCACAGGGAGCTCAGTTCTTGTGGGACCCAGAGACAGTGGGCATGATCCATGGCTCCTTCTTCTGGGGATACATCGTCACTCAGATCCCTGGGGGATTCATCTGCCAGAAGTTTGCTGCTAACCGGTCAGCATTGCTTTTTTATCATCATTCTCACATTCCTGTTTCTGTCACACTGCTTCTTATTGTTGTTCTTCTCTTTCCGATTTTTTCATAGTGCTGCATTAATCATTGATGTCTCTCTCTATCTCTCTTTTTCCCTCTCTTCTGCACAGTGTTTTTGGCTTTGCTATTGTGGCCACCTCCACCCTCAATATGTTTATCCCAACGGCAGCGAGAATTCACTATGGCTGTGTGATTCTGGTCAGGATCTGCCAGGGTCTCGTGGAGGTACACATTTCTTACAGAATAATCCTCATGCCACCTTTTTGTGCCATTTGTGCTGGTATTGGATACACCACACCAAACGCTGACTGTTGTGAGCATAGTGGGTTTTAATGACATGAACACATGTGGATTTGTGCTTTACAGTGCCACCTACAGCTTGGCCAGCAGCCTGTGCTTCAGCTTGGGTTTCATGGGAACCCCAGCTTGTGTGTCAGGAATCTGGAGTGCACATCCCACAGATGTTCACGCACTTACTGAACTGTGTCCCTCACTCCATTTCCTGTAGGGGGTGTCGTACCCAGCATGCCATGGGATTTGGTCAAAGTGGGCCCCACCTCTTGAAAGAAGCCGACTGGCTACAACTGCCTTCTGTGGTGAGTTTTACTTCTGTGGCTGTTTAGCATCACGTGCTGTTTTGGCCTGGTCACATCCTCAGATGACAGAACATCTGTACATGTCTCAGTTCTTTCGTGTTTCTTCTCTTTATGCCCACATGTCAGGCTCCTATGCGGGGGCCGTGGTGGCGATGCCGTTGGCGGGGGTGTTGGTGCAGTACTCCGGCTGGTCCTCAGTTTTCTACGTCTACGGTGAGCACCATTAACACCCGTCATCAGCATCACTCGGTATAGTGCCCCACTTTGTAGCTTCCAGTTTAATAGATCGGGAAATCCTGGCTGTGATGCTTGTGCCTCGTCCAACTTGCTCACAGTGCAGTGTCTTCCATCCTTAAGTTCCCCTCTTCACTATCCTCCTCCTCAGACCCTTCTCTCTGTCTCCCTCCCTCTCCCAGGCAGTTTTGGGATCTTGTGGTATCTCTTCTGGATCCTGGTGTCCTACGAGAGCCCAGCAGCTCATCCCACCATCACCCCTGAGGAGAGGAAGTACATTGAGGATGCCATCGGTGAGACTGCAGGCCTGGTAAACCCCCTTCAGGTAAACACCCATTGGTTTGAAGGGTAACACCTCTCCCTGAAGATAAACCACAGCAGGAAGACACCCCCATTATGGCTTTGAAGTACCCAGTTATCTTAAAATAGTGAAGTGATATATGGAAACGACTCTTTAATGCAGTGGGCTGTGTTCTGTCTAAAAGAAATTCAAGACCCCCTGGAAATGCTTCTTCACCTCCATGCCGGTGTACGCCATCATCGTGGCCAACTTTTGCCGCAGCTGGACCTTCTACCTGCTTCTCATCAGCCAGCCAGCGTACTTCGAGGAGGTGTTTGGCTTTGAGATCAGCAAGGTGAGATGATGTGGCGTGGAGCTTTTGTGGCCAGACAGACGCACTGTCGAAACGAGGTGCGACATTCTCATACTCGGACCTGTCCCTGTCCCCGTAGGTAGGGTTGGTGTCCGCCCTGCCCCACCTGGTGATGACCATCATTGTCCCGATTGGCGGTCAGCTGGCTGACTTCCTACGCTCACGCCAAATTATGTCCACCACAAATGTCAGGAAGCTCATGAACTGTGGAGGTAAATGAAGAATTGTTGATGTCCTCCTTTCACAGCATCTCTGCCCAGATCTTTGCTGCCTTTGCCATTGATGTGGTATGTGTCTGCAGTGCAGTGAGGAAACCGTTCGTGCATCACGCAAACTGGGCGGGTCCCACTGCAGTGGCCTGGCACTGGAAACCCATTACAGTGTCTCCCTGCACTCTTTCTCACAGGGTTTGGCATGGAGGCCACTTTGCTGCTGGTGGTGGGTTTCTCTCACACCAAGGGCATCGCCATCTCCTTCCTGGTCCTGGCTGTTGGATTCAGTGGCTTCGCCATATCAGGTGAGAAATCGGCCAGGAAGACTGTAGCAGCGATGGAGCACACAGCACAGCGAGGAAGACAAGGCTGTTTGAGCTGAAGCAGAACAGCCCAGTTAGTGCAATGCAGAGCAAGCAAGCAAAGGAGAATCAGGCAGCATTCTGGGTAAATGGACTGCGGCTAGTAAACTGAGCAATACATATTCTTTCTCTCTTTCTCTCTCTCTCGCTCATCCCCAGGATTCAACGTGAACCACCTGGACATTGCTCCTCGATATGCCAGCATCCTGATGGGCATCTCCAATGGGGTGGGCACTCTGTCTGGTATGGTGTGCCCACTCATTGTGGGCGCCATGACCAAAAACAAGGTATGACTTGCATGCCCTCTGCATGGGCGGCTATGTCTGTATGTGAGTCAGCCATGGTGTGTCTCTGTGGGCCAGCACGTTAAAAAGTAGAGTATCAATGCAGTAGCTCCCGGAATCCCAGTGCATAGAGTCTGTGCAATCTAAAGTGCGGCCCTGTGCAGAGAGTATGTGCAGTCTGAAGCATGACCCTGTTCAGAGACACTGTGTGGTCTGAAGTGCAGCCCTGTGCAGAGACACTGTGCAGTGTGAAGCATGGCCCTGTGCATAGATTCTGTGTGCAATCTGTAGCTGGCCCTGTGCAGAGAGTCTGTGCCATCTGAAGCGCTGCCCTGTGCAGAGACACTGTGCGGTCTGAAGCGTAGGCCTGTGCAGAGACACTATGCAATCTGAAACCAGCCCCTGTGCAGAGAGTCTGTGCCATCTGAAGCGCGGCCCTGTGCAGAGACACTATGCAATCTGAAACCAGCCCCTGTGCAGAGAGTCTGTGCCATCTGAAGCGCGGCCCTGTGCAGAGACACTATG